TTTCACACCCTTGGCATCTTAAAGTCCGGAGGACTTCAACTCCAAGATTCCCCCAGCCAGCTCGGCTGGCTGGGGGATTCTGGGAGTTGAAGTCCACAGGACTTAAAGTCGCCAAGGTTGAGAAACACTGATTTTAACTCAGATATTTATACATGTTACCCTTATACCTCCAATTTTTACTTGACTATAATTGTTTGCGTGAGCCATACTTTCTGACCACTGAAACTCATCTTAACGTCGGTGTTATAGCAGGGTGATGTCCCTTCTCCAGTCAGATATGTTTGTATGTCCCTTGCATGTAATATTATTCTCCAACCTGAAAATAAAGCACTTGGCGGTCCGTTTTCAGAACTGGAATTACTTTTCTGACAATGAGGCAGAAAACGTTAAGATGATGGAAGAAGTCGAAAAGCTTTGCGATCGGCTGGAGCTAGCAAGGTATGCAGTGCTGACCTCTACTCTCTGTTTCTCTGACCTTCCACTTTTCTGCTACCGGTAGATCTGAAATGTCGCTCAATGATTTATTTTTAGTCTGCAGTGCTTGAATGAAGCACTTACATCCACCACAAAGGACGAAGGGAAGGCTGCGGTATTAAAACAGGTAAATATGAATATTTTGTCCTGTAAAAAAAAAAATTTAAAAATCGGCGAAAAACTTACGAAAGAGGAAACTTCCCCTGTAGAATGGCATCTCTAAAAATTGGAACGTGGCAGCTGCCACGTCTACTAGAATTTAAACGTAATAAAAACATTTTTCTGTGGGGCCTATAGAGATTTACAGGTAATCCTCAACTTACGACCACATTTGAGCCCAAAATTATTGTTGCCAAGTGAAACGCTTACCGAGTGAACTTTGCTCCATGTTATATAGCCTTTCGTGCCACCGTTGTTAAGTGAATCTGGCTTCCCCGTTGTCTTTGCTTGTCGGGTCACAAAAGACGATCACATCACCCCAAGGACACGGCCACCGTCATAAAATATGAATCAGTTTGAATTTGGCTCATGTGACTATGGGGTCGTAAGTGTGAAAAGCGATCGTAAGTCACTTTTTTTTTTCAGGGTCGTTGTGACTTCAAATGGTTTTCAGGGTCGTCGTGACTTCAAATGGTTTCTAAATGAACTGTTGTAAATTGAGGACTACCTGTATTTGCAAAAAAATAATAATAATTCTGCATTCCCAGAAGAGAAAATAGAAAATATATATTTTAGTTCAGGAAAAGAAGGAATTTGAAATCTGCAGGGTTAGGGTTAGGGTTAGGTTTACAGCGGTGCTTCTGTTGGCGCGCTATTGTCGGCGCGGTTCAGCGCTCATTCGTCCACACGGTTTAGAACTCGCGGTTTTGTCACCGCNATTAATTTGTTTTTCCATTTCTGGGCAAAGGCAATCCTTGCGACTTTTAATTTTGACGTAGAGAAGGATGACTCCAGAGTTTTCTTGTCTCTCAGCAAAGGCAAGCAGAACTCGAAATGGCGCGACTGGCCAAGGAGAAGGAGGAGGAGGAAGCGAGACAACAGACCTTGCTGATGAAGAAAGAGAAGGATATACAGAAGAAAGCGATTAAAAAGGAGAGGCAGAAACTGCGAACAACCTGCAAGGTGAGCATCTCTTCTCCTTGTCAAACCTTTTTTTGTTTTTTAGTCGTCCAACATCCAGCATATTTGAATATCATTTATAATTGTTAAAACCCGGGGAAACGGGAGACGACCTTTGTTCCCTTCTCAGAATTTCTTTTCTCTATCGAAATGTTTTCCCCGCAAGCAGATTTATGTTGAAATTGTGCTTTGACCTTTTCAAAATGTTTTAGAAGGGGCTTTGATGCTTTAGTTGCTTCAGAGCAATGATCGCTTTGGGGTTAAGGTTAGGGTTAGGGCAGTGGTCCCTAATCTTTTTTTGGCCATGCCCCACCTAAGCATCTTTAAAAATCGAAATTGGAAACAAAAAAACATTCCCCTCAAACACAGCGATTATTAAAAAGGTGCTAGAATGTGTGGAAATGGATGAATTAAGGATGGAACTAAAAGGCAGAGAGGAAACACACATGGAATACTAAAAGACATGGAATAGGTGGTATAATTGGCTTGAAAAGAGATGTAAAATTAATGCCTAATTCATGCATAGAAAATTGTTCTGACCCCCCTCGTCCCACACCAAAGCACACCGAGCCAAAGATACTTTACGGAATTTATTAACAGACAGACAGGTCCTTGGCAGCAATCCAGCACAGCACAATCCAGCCTGCCAAGCTAACACGACAGTTCTCCAACTTTAATGAATGTGTTGACTCCTGCAAAAAGGGCGTGTGCACAAGCAGTCCTTTTATAGTCTGGAGAGGAGCCTAATTACCACCAGCTGAGTGCAATTACCTCCTGTAACTGCCAACTGTTCTTTACGCCTATTAGCTCTTTGGTGCCGGGCATCCAGGAACAACTCCCTTGGCTTCTTCCCATTGCTGACGTCCGGATCACTCTCCCTTGTCTCCTCCCCACTGGTCCAAGGCTCAGGCGCCTCCTGGTGGCCAACCAGCCTCTCTGCGCCTTGCTTGGAGTCGGAACCCTGTCCAGGGTCCTCCACCTCCTCCAGAGCCGACTCATAGGGCCCCTCGCTGTCGGAGTCTGGTGGCAGCTCCAACAGCTCCTGCTGGGCCACAACAGGTAGCATGGAATAAACTTAATACTTTTGAACCTCATC